CTGCGACGCGTCCTCAGAGCTGCGACGCCTTTCTGTGCCATTTTTACACGTCTTTTTGTTAATTTTTCCAGTAACTGCTACTAATGCTGCTAATGCTGCGCTCTCTCTGTTTACTGACGTCACCCCCACCTCACGGCTAGTAACAAACTCCCAATGTTCAGCTGAGAGTTGGGCAGCAAAGAGAATGTGAGGGACACACATACACACACATCACGCAACACTTTATTTTTATTTTAAAGAACAGAAATAAACTTCAGACAAGTACAGAAAATATTTCTTTAAAAAAAAATTAACTTTTTTTGTTTCCCCTCAGAGAGGCAGAGAGGGAAGAGGAAGTGATGGAAGGAGGGTGTAAGTGGAAAAGAGAGAGAAAGGGGGAGAGAGGGAGATAAGAAGTCAAGGAAATGTCCGGATTTAAAGACAGACAAACGGAGTGAGGAAAGTTCCAACTGGAACATTTAATTCAGGACAGAAACTAAACCAAACATATTCGGCTTCTTCAGCTTTTCCGTTGTATCGTCGTCACCGCCTGCGTCTGTGTCACGTCTGTAGCGTCCGGTTTGCGGTAAGAGTTTCTTTTCGACGCTCCAATGGTGAAAGAACGCGCTGTAGATTAGACAGCGATGTTTCTAACTTATTCATTTGTGTTTTTGTTCTGTTGGTTTAAGGTCGTTGAGGTAGTGACACAAACAGAACCGCTTCGTTCTCACTAAAATAAAAAAACATGGCGGCGAGAAGGGACGACCGGAAGAACGATTTGACTTTACTTTACTGGAGTTGTCAGTCAGATATTCGCCGAAGTCCTTAGAGAAAACAAAAAACAAAAACGTGAAGTTTTACGTGAACACGAACTGCACTTCATGACGTCACGATGCGTCGTGATTTAAAGCGCGTAATTGTCCGACCGTAACGTCTGAAGAACCTGCAGCTTCTGTGGTAAAAACCGTGATTTTCTCCATGGACTTTGGTACCGGAAGTCAAACCATTATAGCATTTCCGGTTTCTGAAAAGAACGCGTTGTAAACAAGAATATCAATAAACTCAGAAGATATATTTTTGTTGTTGTTGTCTCTACTGACAGCTATGTTGGTGCCTCATATCTCAGACAGGGTTTAGTGCAGAGCTCCACCTAGCGGCTCATTGGTGTCACTTCACCACACTTCTTTAACCGCAGTCAGAACCCGATCTTTCACCTGTTCAGAGCTTCTCTCTCTGTGTGTGTGAATGTGTGTGTGTGTTGACATGTATCTTCAAATGTCCTTTTTTCTCACGTTGTCATTTATGATAAGAAAAATATTTTGTATAATGATTTGTACAGAAGAGAGAGGATTTATATGGGACCAAAGTGAACGGCCGTTTGTCCGACAGGACAGTGAATGCATCTGTGAACAGATTCATGTTAGTGTGTTAGCGTTTTTTTGTTGTTGTTTCCACGTGACAGAGGAGGTCAGACCTTTGAAGGCATGAAGCCGACCTGTGGTGACGTCAGGCTGCAAGGATCCCGGGGTCAAAGGTCACAGGCTTGAACAAGTGGAGTTTTTTAAATTTCCAAGCGAATCAGTCTTGGACTGTGAGCGTGTTTGAATAATTCTGGTCTGTCTCCGTCCGTTTGAAGCCTCTGGTGCTTTTGACCCTGCAGATCCCTGCAGGATGAAGATGACGGAACGTCTGACTGCCCAGCAGGACGTTCTCACAGCGCTTGGCCGATCCTTTAAAAATGAATTAGAACCTGTTTCCTCTGGAACCTCTGAGCACAAAACCAATGACCAAAGCAGAACAAAGTTCATTTAAATTCATATAATATTTACTACTTCATGAGCAGGAAATTACTTTAATCTGGTTTGAAAACAAACACCAGTGATTAAATGTGTCTGTAGTGGGTGAAAAAAAAAAAACAACCTCAGATTTTGACCTCAAAGCACAAAAGTTACGCAGTCCAAAAAATTTAACATGAATAAAAATGTTGGAAAAAAAGAGAAAATTAACCAAAATAAGAATTACATTTTTGCTATTTTTTTGTATTACATTACAAAAAATGAGCAGCAAAAGTAGCCAAAAAAAGGGGGAGGGGGGGTTGTTTAATTTTACATGTAAACAGAATTCTCTTCTGAGTCTGTTCGTGGTCCTGCTCAGTCACAGTGTGGACTGGTGTAACAGTAACAACAGTAACAACGGTAACAACTGAGGGGAAATTTCAGCATCAGGACCATTCTTTTTTTTCTTTTGTTTCACTGCAGCAATAATGTTTCCAGGTCAGTCCTGAGTGGGTTGGCTTTTCTGTTTTTTTTTCTAAACTAAAAATGATCTGAGACTTTTTTTTCTGGACGGGCAGATTTGAGCTACAGCTGATGGAGAAGCAGAATAATGTCACTTTTGTTTTCAAACAACAAATCTGTTATTACTAAAAAATGCGGTGTGAAGTGTAGTTGTTAATAAGCATGAAATTATATATATAAATATATATATAAACACATTCCTATATACAAACATACATATAAAACACAGAGACTTTTCTTGAAGAGAAAATAAAATCTATTTTTAATGTCTTTCAATGGTGACGAATGTGATGATGAAGATGATGAAGATGATGATGACGAATGTAATGATAAAGCCCAAAAATGATCTTGTTGGCTGCTCAGCAGTAAAACAGCAGACGCCACCTGCTGGACAAACACTGATCTTATTTATGTATATTTATATGACATGAGATGAAAGAGAGAAAAAGAAAAAATTAAACTAACAGCTTTGATTTTGATCCATGTTTTTCTTTCAGTCAAATTATACAGAGTACAATAATATTCTTTCCTCAATCTGTTTACCATAACATCTGTAAAACTTTATAAAGACTTTTAAATGTCTATGCAAATGCAAACTCTATTTGTAAATAAATGTCTCTATATTTCAGATATATACCCGCCTGGTCTACACTGTTCATTTATTCTATCCTGTAGTACACCTTTTGGACCAATAGAGGGTGCAAAATGTCTTCACACAACAGTTTACATGGCAAATGTGGACACGAAACTATATATTTGGGGTCTTCTGTGGCCCGAGTCTGGTATCCAAAGTGGGCCATATATGAACCCTAATGTTACGTTGACCTTGTCCGATGTTACACCAAGCTTCTCTAGCCCATGTCGGCCACACATTTCGCTCATATTTATTTAGATATACCGCTTAAAAATGTGTCAAATACACAATACGGATTTGTACCTGGCGTAGTTTTATCTTTGTCTGACATGATTTAGCCACTAGAGGGAGTAATCTCCCCATTTCTCCTATTTAAACCTATGCAGTTGTCACTTTGTTATGCTATAAGTTTTGCAGCTAAATGTTAAAAATGTTACATTTTAAATTTTAAAAGGTAAAAATGTAAAAAATGTAAAACGCAGTATTTTGCCAATGGATCAAAATAATTCGACAAATATGGTAAAAATAATAAAGTTAAAATTTAGCACAAAATTATTTGACTTTACTACTTTTTTACTACTTCAGAGCCTGCAGGTGGGGCTAATGAGCTGATGCCTCGGTCATACCGTTCACTCTGGTAGTTTAGAAATTCTTTTTTTTAATTTTTAGATTTAATTGCGTTTACAAACTGACCAGAGGAGGGCACCAATTTTTAGATTTAATTGCGTTGTACAAACTGTCCAGAGGAGGGCAGCAGCGGACAGGAACCACCGGCTCCACAGGAAGTTTTGCTTTGTTTTTCTTATAGATACTATTTTAAATACTGCAGGTCTGGACGTTTGAGGCCTGGTCCAATCAGAGCAGCCCACTACTCGGTACAGTACTGTACTGTACCAGGCTTTGTGTATATCAATACTTCAAAGTGAGTCATTATTTTAATTGTATACCACCAAATTCTTTCTACTCATAAATAAATCCACAACTTCCCTGAGGATGTTTACTGTCGTATTATTTTCATTTCACAGTCGACCACAGGAGGCGACGACGGTGCAGTAGGACCCTGAGGTGCAGCAGCAGTGGCAGCAGCAGCGGCAGCAGCAGCAGCAGTGAGGTCAGAGGAGGGAGGAGACTGAAGATAAACAACCGTCCACACCCTCAGTCTGTGGGAAGTTTCTCCGCATTCCACACACACACTCACACACTCACACACTTCCAAACACATTTCCATCTAAACCTGGACATTAAGCTGGAGAGAACCACACACCGTGGCTGGGTAAGTGTGTGTGTGTGTGTAAATGTTTTGTGGTCAGATCTGAAGTGTGTGTTGTTCTTCCGTTCTTACGTCTCAGAGACTCTTCTCTGTCAGAACATTTGAACCAGACTCTGGTCCCTGACGAGGCTCAACCTCAGGTCTGACATGTTGGATATTTTCACGTGAAACGTGTGAAGTTGTTTTGGTTGAGATTCAGATGAGAGATGAACTGGTCTTTGGTTCTTCAGCCCTAACCAGAAGAGCTGCGTCAACCCGTCTCCCCCCCTCCCGTCTCCCCCCCTCCCGTCTCTCCCCTCCCACTTTCTGTCTGTGTGTGTGTTTTCAAACAGGAGTGTGTAAGGTCCAGTGGACCTGCTGCAGGAGCCTCATCGTCCACTTCCTGCCCAGGTATTGATTGTATTTCCTGTCTGCTTCTCCACTGTCTTGTCGCCTGCTCCACTGCTGCTGCACAGTCATGACAGGAAGGAAGGGCCTGAGCCGCGTTCACAATACTCTGCTGCCGTCCTCGCTCCACACCAGTGAGTCCTCTGACTCAGCTGTGAGGACTGGATCCACCACAGTTTTCTGATGTCGTAAAGTCGTGAACACTAACGACCAGAACGGGTCACAGAGCAGAACCGACGCCTGAATCAACTCCTTCTTCCTCATTCAAATCTTAAAGCTGTAAAACGTCAGGAGCTTTCTCTGATGATGCAAAATGAAAAATGAAAAAAAGCCTGTCTCCAAATTAGGACAAGCAGCGGTCGGAGGAGTGGAGTCCATAAAAGGAAGTTGAAAAGATCGTTGGTGTTACGGTGCCCCCTTCCCCATCAACCTTATTTTTAAATGTTAGTTCCATCTGTTAAAGGACAAAAACATTGAGTTCAAATTCCACCAAATGCGATTAATCACAATTTCACGACAAATATACTCTGCTGTGAGTATCCAAGCCTGTAACACAAACAGGCATTTAGTTAAATATTAACTCAACTTCCCTAAAAAATGTGGAGCTGGAAGCACTTTTCTCAAGGTCGACTACAGGGGGTGCTAAAAACACTGTTTATGAATTGAATATGACTTTTCAGTCTTGTTTGTTTACCACAGAGATCGGACCACATTTTTAAAACAAACAGAAAAACATATTTAACATTTAACAGAGGGAGTCGTTTTTCAGCACCTACTGGGCTTGGCAGTGTACAGTTGGAGGTTCAAATCCCATGAACATCCTGCATACATAGCTCACATGTGTTAACGGACCACCCAAATCCTTCCTCCAGTAGTAGTGTGTAGTGTGAAGCCCAGCGTTAATCGTTAGCTTGACTTAATAACGAGTTTCCACTGTGTGTAAATGACACGTGTAATGACTGTGTTTTAGAGCAACAATAGGTGACGTTGTGTTAGATTTCTAATCCTATTTAGAGGAAAATAAACAGTAAGGCATAAAAAATATTTGTTTTTTTTCCCCAGCCTCAGCATGAGTGAGGCGGACGGCGATGAAGGTGCAGGCGCTGGTGGCATCAGCCTCGGCAGCAGCAGTGACAGCGCCCCAAAGACGGTGGAGGGGAAATCCCTGAGCACACTGAGCGCCATCGCCTCTGGACCGGGCTGGACGAAGGTCAGCTGCTCCTGCTGTATGTCGGAGCGGGTGGAGCCTCTGATTCTGGTGAAGCTCAGTGAAAAGGTTCGACCGGAGACGAAGCGATGGCTCATCAAGCTGATCGGAACTTCGCAGAAGGAAGGAGGTAAAAGTTGCGGCAACGTGACTGGGCCACAGGATCAGTTGGTTTTCTGGCCTAGAATAAAACACTCATTAAGTTTTCAACTTATCCACCACTAGGGGCACTCTAACTTCATAAATTTGCTAGTGATTTCACGCTGACCTTTTACAACCATATTTCTCAGGTGCTGGATTATTGGCCCACCCTGGCGAGGACGCCACTGGTGACATCATCGTTGTCTCCGCCCCTCGCTGTACGTTACTGCGGGCCACAGAGGAGCTGGGATTGTGTAAGAGCTACAACAGCGGCGACATGGAGGCGTTCTCCTACATCGACAGAGACAACTTCAAAGATTCAGGTACCACGTCCAGAGGACTTTGTTGTTTTTTTCTAGACACACACGTAAAAATGTTGACGTCTGTGCTGCTTCCTGTCTGTGACAGACAACATGGACGTGTTCCTGACTCTGGCGGAGAGACAGTTCATAGTGAAGTACGAGCTGGACGGCCTGAGAGCGCAGAGAGACCTGAGGGTTCCAGGACTGTCGGACAAGAACGCCTTTCAGAACAGGGACAACATCTGTGAGTGTCCGCTCTGGTCTCTGTTTCTGTCTGTCTTCACTCATCTGTTCTACCATGAGATGAAAATGTCTTGTCTGTCTTGTCCTATTTGGTCTCATCTCATTTCCAATAAACCACCCTGTCTTGTCCTATTTGGTCTCATCTCAATGCAAAAAATGATCTTCTTGTAGTAAATCTCATCTCATTTCCAATAAATCGCTTATCATATCATATCATACCGTATCATATAGTATGATATCGTATCATATCGCATCGTATCATATCATATCGTATCATGTTGTATTGTATCATACCATATCATAACATGTCATATGTGATATATATCATATCGTACGCAATTTCATCTAATTTTCTTCTGACTTTTCTGATCTTAAATTTCTAGCGTAATTCATCTAATCTCATCTGATCATGTCGTATTTCTTTTGAGCTCATCTCATCTTGTCCAGTGTATTTCCATGTGACCTTATCTCCTCACGTGTGGGTGATGACCTCCTGACCCCATGTGTTTCTCTCTCTCAGGGCAGAAGCTCGGCTCAGCCGGCGTCATCGTGGACACCGTTCCTCTGCACCACCCGCAGCAGCTGAAGGAGCTCAGCAAAGCCTGGTATTCTGGGAACCAGTTGTCTCAGCCGCTGGGTGGGTGGAAACTCTCACGTCAACTCTGATCATGGGTCGTAGCATCAGACCGACCGATCAGTCCGTACTGGATCTACTGTTCACGCAACCTGTTTGATGTGTTTTTATTTTTCCAGATTCGGTCAACACGTACTTTGGAAGCTCCATCGCCTTTTACTTCAGTTTCCTGGATTTTTACACATGGTCTCTGCTGCCTCCAGCACTGCTGGGACTGTGTATCACATACTACTCAGGTAGGTGTCCCAGAATTGTCCATGGTCTCCCAAAGTGTCCCAAAGCCTTATGAGCTACTGTGTTACAAGTGCGTTAATCGTCCGATGAATCGTCAGCAGATATACGGCTCCCTTTTATGGGCAATGAATAAAGAATAGCTGAAGTTAGCTCAAAAATTGCTAAAATGTAGCAAAGACTTTACCTGCGAGTTAAAAAAAACAGTAGCTTAGAATATATAACTTGAGAAAAGTAGCTAAAAAACAACTAAAATTTAGCTGACGAAAAAGCGCACCTTTAAAGTCAGTAGCAACTCAGCAGATTCAAAGCCAAACAAACTAACTGGCCACAAAGTTGTCCATCACAGCGGACGTTCAGAAGGAGATGGTGGAATCAGTGTCAGGCTCGCAGACTGAAGACGTGGACGAAGACGCAGGTCCGACAGTGAGCGGTCACATGGTCCAGGCCATGTTCAGCATGCTGTGGTCCACCGTCTTCATGGAGATGTGGAAGCGCAGGAGCTCCACGCTGTCGTACCACTGGGGGACGCTGCACCTCGCCGAGCGCTTCGCAGAGCCCCGGCCTGGATTTCACGGTGACCTCGGGGTCAACCCCGTGACTGGTCGTGTGGAGCCACTTTTTTCAGAATGGCAGAGGGACCTGAGGATGGCGCTGGTGTCCATCCCAGTGGTGGGATTGTTTCTGGGTAAGACGTTGTTACATGACAAGACATGACTCAACCATGTCAACCTTGGACTAGATGTAAAATGGGAAACGTGGTCCATATATCTTTACACTTGTGTAGACCCTCTTGTTTAGTAAATCCATGCTGTAATTGGGCCAAACAAATAGGCACGATCTGGATGTGGGCTGGATCAAGATCTAGATATTTCACCTTCTCTTTGCTGCTCATGTTTTTATTTGTTTTGTTTTTTTTAACCAACCCTACGTTCCACGGACTGCCCGGTCCTCTCCTGCAGGCCTGGTGGTCCTGGGTATGTTTGGCTTCTACTGGGGGGAGGCCCTGGTGCAGCAGGTCCACAGTGACTGGGACTCTGTGCTGACACAGACCCTGCTCTACACGCCCTCCATTCTTCACATCGTCTACACCAACATGCTGGCGACGGTTTACAGGACGGTGGCCAAGTTCCTGACAGAATTTGGTAAGGATATGGTTCAGACCACTTTATTCCAGTTTTCAATCCGGTGGGATAATGTCACCACCTGGTGGTAATGGTGTTGGAAAAGTAAAGGCAGGAATAAGGAGAGTAAACGGGATCAGAGGAACATAGAAGTTCTTTATGGAACATCTTAAACTTGACTTGTCCAGTATCTGGATCGAGAAAGACTTCAAGGATCTGGGGGTGGGGGGGTGCAGGTATTCCTATCTCCTACGGTGTAAATGCCCAACTACAGATAAATCGAACCAAACCTAACATTTTTTAAATGTAGCACAAGGCTAGGCAAGGATTTCCAACCACATAAACATTAAGAGACAAAATATTTTTTCTGAAAAAACCAAAACTCGACAAAGTTTGACTTCAGGTCTGTGTTTCTGTCTCCTTCAGAGAACCACAGAGAAGAGTCGGCCTTTGAGAAGCATCTCACGGCTAAAGTCTTGGTGGTGTGTTGTTGGTATATTCTCACAATTAACAAAATTAATCAGTACTTAATCAGGATTTTAACGCAGAGGCGAATGACACTCCAGTATGTATCCAATCATTTCACCGTCCATCCACTCATCACTGTCTAATACACAGTCAATACACGTGTTGTTATTTGCACATATTGTGGGAAAACCTTTTAGTCCTTGGAGGCTTAACATAACTGACTCGACTCCAACCTTTCCTGGTATTTATTTTACCCATAGTTCACCTTCTTCAACTACTTTGCCGTGCTCTTCCACATCGCCTTCTTCAAACAGGACGTGCCTTTGCTTCGGAAGGTAAGTGTATTTATTTATTTTTTATCATGAATAAATTAATGGAATGTACCCAAGGTGTGAATGCTAGTGTAAATGGATGTTTGTAGAAGACGAATAATCGTAGAGCCTGGGTCGTGATGAATGGATAAAGACGTAAATACGTTAAAATAAAAGTAAAATTGTTTTGATCAAATCTTTCTGTTTTTACTCTCTGTCCTCAGCGTCTAGCATCTTTGCTCATTGTGACCCAGCTGATCAACCAGGTGACAGAGGTGGTCATACCCTTCCTGGTGGATCGGTTCATCAGCGCCCCCCACAGGGCTGAGAGTGAAGATGACCCAGAGGAGGACAAACTCAGGAGGCAAAGCACTCTTCCCGTTTTCCCTGTGTGTAGACGTTAATACAGAAACGATTCCTTTTTGCTTCAGGTCAAGAACAAGAACAAAGAACCATTTTAGTTTCCCACTTTATTTCAGGGTCTGTTTGCGGAGTACATCGAGCTCCTGGTCCAGTTTGGATATTTGAGTCTGTTCTCCTGTGTGTATCCTCTGACGGCGGTGCTTCTTCTCATCAACAACCTGACAGAGATCCGATCGGACGCCTACAAGATATGCAAACTCTTCCGCAAACCCCTCTATCCCCCGGTGGCCAACATGGGCGTGTGGCAGGTCGGCCAAGACAAGACACAATGAGGTCCACTCACGCCGTCACGCTGAAGTCAGTCGACAGACCGTGTCTTTGTCCTCTGTTTCAGACTGCGTTCGAGGTCCTGAGCTTCGTCTCCGTCGTGTCCAACTGCTGGCTGCTGCTGCTGTCGCCGCGGTTACAGACGACGTGTCAGGAGGCCGGGATGAGCAGCACGAGCATTCTGATGTCTGCTGTGCTGGTGGAGGTGTGACCCTGTAGAAGCTCACGCACACATGAACTCACTGTTGGCTAACGTTGTAACTCGTGTGACTCTCGTCTGGTTTTTCCAGCATGTTCTGATCCTGATCAAGGTCATTCTGTCCGTGCTCATCCCCGACGAACCAGAGTGGATCAGGAAGAAGAGGGAACATATAGACTACATGTCCATGGAGGCTCTGAAGCAGCAGGTTCAGAACCTATTTCTTGTTGACGGCCTTTCACAGGTGGCTCAGGGTTTGATTAAATCTAATAGCATTTGTGGGGGGGGGGGGGGGGGGGGGGGCGCGAG